ACTTCAGGGGCTGCATCAGATCGCACTGTGCAAACGCATGCAACTTCAGATCCTCGAGCCCCTCTCGCGGCATTATTTAGAAGTTGCGTGAGTTACAGCTGTTTCACACACACACACACACACACACACACCGTGTGTGTATGCAGGAGCAGCGCACATTATTGTTTTCACGTGCTGCGTTTGCAGTGCGCAACTGATCTACGGCTGTACCACAATCACAACATTTATTCTCTATTTCACGAGTTCACACTTACATATAATTTTGAGTGAGTAAGATTCAATGCGTATTTGGCGTGCTGTCCGGAGGGAGGGCTCCGAGCTCGGAATTCTGCCCGAACCCAGAGTACTCCCCCCGTATGTAAGTGATTTTTAGAAAGAGGAGTGTGGAAAACTAGGAGTGTGGAGAAGGGGTGGAGGAGGGATGCTGCAAACTGTCAATGGATCGAGGTAAGACTGCTGAGTCTATTTGTACCCTCTTATCATTGACTGCTGATTGCTGATTGCTGTCCACTCGTGTCAATTATCTGAACGTGCTCCTCCCGAACTTAGTTAATAAAACTTCATTTGTTATTTCAAATCAGTATTTTAGCCTACATCCATGGTGTCGTGTTGTTGAGGAAGCCTACTGTGTAGATCTCTGCTCTGCTGTTATGCACGCACCACTCCTAGAGTGCGCGGTATGAACGCTAATCTAGTACTGTAACATGGGTGCGGGAAAAATATACGCACTGCAAACGGAGTATGTGTGAAACAGGCGTTAGCATAAACGACAACAAACAAAGTTAAGTCTGACACAGAGAAAGGGATTCGTCTTTGGGAGAAAAAGAAGAAATGACATTTGGAAAAACTTTCATTTCATGTGTATAGCTACTTCTAACATGTTTGGTTGGTAAAATAAATATGGTTTTGTGATTTGACGTTCGTGGTTTGACTTATCGAGACTATTTTTTAAGATGGCTCCTGCCTGTATACGCGAACTGTCTTCATAAAGTATCTTCTTATTAAACGGTCTGTACACTACAAAGTTCTCAATGCTTCGTTTTGCATGCATTGAGCCTCATTATGTTACTGTGTGAGTGTGGGGCTATTTTGAGCCTTGTTAGTGGTATAAACTAGCGATTTCTTTTTACTTACTCAATGCCCCATTACTAGTATTATACGCTAAACAGTTTTTAGAGATAAAACTCTTTACATTCGATTATCATGAAAACAAATCTCAGAGAACGGTTGACTGTGTACCGATGTTTTATTAGACCAAAGGTTCATTGTTCGCCGGAGTTCTCCTTTAAAGGGTTAGTTCACCCAAAAATGAAAATTCTGTCAGTATTTACTCACCCTCATGTTGTTCCAAACCTCTATGTCTTTATTTGTTCTGCTATACACAAAGGAATATATTTTGAAGAATGTTTTAATCAAACAGATCTCATTCCCCATTGACTACCATAGTAGGAAAAAAATACATTCTATGGTAGTCAATGGGGAATGAGATCTGTTTGATTAAAACATTCTTCCAAATATCTTCCTTTGTGTTCAGGTGCAAGGAGTCATAAAGTTGATCCTGTTATAGCTCATGGACTGCTCATATTCAAGCTCTCTGCAAGGCTATTCACGTCTCTGCAAGATTCGGAAGGGAATGATTCAGATCACAGCTATGCACAGCTTCTAGAAGACTTACAACTGACAGACAAGTTGCCCACATCACATCTACATCGTCAAGCTCAGTTTGAGCCAGCACAGGACACTCAGCCATGAGGAAGTGAGTGCTTCTAATTGCCTTCACTTTTCTCCATTGAAGTCTATGGGGTCGCTGTGTCCATTTCTTTTACTGTCTATGAAATTAATAGGCTCCTGGAAACACTGCTGAAAAAGAGGGTGGCACTAATGCACTCTATTCTCAATAAGGCATGTTTTTAAGGCTTAAAGGAATGACCCATCTAGCATCACTTCCAGCACCTGATTTTTACTGATTTTCCGTTTCTTCAAGCACACCGCAGCAAGCTGTATGCAGAATGTCATGAAGCCTCAGGGATGTGCTCAGGAAGGGTCATTAATTTCTCTGGTTGTGCATGATTCATAAACACCTTAGTCCGCAGGCTGTAGTGTGCAACCTTATAAAAGAAAATCTGACCTGAGATCAGAAAGCTGGCACTTTATAGATCATATGGAATTAGATATCAATATGATGGCTGACATTACTGTCAGATTAATGGGTGAGTGGCATGTTGGTGCTGGTGACTGTTGGCTTGTTGCCTCAGTTGGAGAAAAGCCTTCGGCGACAAGCGTGAGCACCGCCATTGGATTTTTCAAGAAACTGACACCTTAATGGACAGAAGACTTACGCTTGATCCTGCACTGTGATATCAAATGTCCTTTCCCACGATGCAGCATGCCGTTTTACATGACTGGCATTCAAGAGCCAATACAATATGTTTTATGTAATTAATAAAACATGAATTCATTAATATATGTTTAACTCTTTTTTTTAAGTTTCCAGCCAATACGAGCATTTTTTATCATTTTCAGTACATTTTTATTTCCCCCAGAATATTTTGTTGAATATGAACAGACCCTTGTTTTAATAAAAAAAAAAAAAAAAAAAAAACTGTTTTATTCCAGCTTAAGGTATTCTATTTTTATCAACATTTGAAAGTTTTATAAAAACAGCAACATTTTGAGCAAAAAAAAATTGCATTTTTATATTGGCGAGCGATCGGTTGTTTGTGTTTGTAGCTCCGGAGAATTTCTTCACAAATCCTTGATTTTCTTCTTTACCACTTATTTATAAACAAGCACTTTCTATTTTTATATTATGTGAACTTATCCTCGATAGTATTCCTTATAAAAAACAATTGGATTGCTTTGATATCGCTACTTATATCCAACCTCCCTAAATCCTGGCTACTAGCCTTAGCCCGCTAGCATTCCACGCGTGCCCTCTCGCCTATTGATCGTCTCATTTTACACCCGTTTCACTGAATCCTGGTTATTTCCGACATTTCAATCCTAAATTAGTAGTGATAGTTGTAGTATCACTACTAATTTACTGATCATCCGTTATAATGGCGAACATATCAGATGCGTGTCTAACATTACCTTTGAGTGCAGATGAAGACACATTCGAGCTCTTCACGGTGAAGCAGGAGCTGGAATACGTCGAGAAACAGATCCGCGGTCTGCTGGTGAAGCAAGCCGAGCTGCTGGATCGGCGCTCAACGCTTGAAGCATCACGCGCCGACGCTAACAAATCAAATCACTCTTTGACTCCGAGTTCATCTACGCCGTACGTTACTCTGCCGAGGAAGATGCGATCATCTAAGGCTTCATTCACTCCGGCACCGAAACAACATGGACCATGGATCACACAGCGGAAGACTCGAGCCAGGACCAGAGCTGCCTCTCCGCCCCTCCCGGTCTTCGAGATCTCCACCCGGAACCGCTTCTCCCCTCTTCGCGAGCCGGAACGCGATGACGCCGTGATCATCGGCACATCCATAGTCCGCCATGTCCGCGCTAATTCGGATAAAGGTAAAGTGCGCACTCACTGCTTTCCTGGTGCTCGTGTTCTTGATGTTGCTGCACAGGTTCCCGAGATCCTGAACGGGGACGAGCGCGTCGGAGCTGTTGTGCTGCACGCGGGAGCGAACGACATTAGGCTGCGGCAGACGGAGGTTCTGAAGAAGGACTACAGGAGCCTGATCGAGACGGTACGCAGCACAGCGCCTAAAGCAGCGATCATCGTGTCTGGACCGCTTCCCACGTACAGACAAGGACAGGAAAGGTTCAGTAGACTTTTTGCATTAAATGAATGGTTAATGTCATTGTGTAATGAACAGGGGCTGCACTTTGTAAATAACTGGCATCTGTTTTGGGAAAGACCGAGGCTGTACAGCACAGATGGTCTCCATCCCAGCCGAATCGGAGCGGCTGTGCTGTCGGACAACATTTCCAAGACATTACGCACCAGATGACTAATGAGTCAAAGTCCAAATTACAGCCTTTGCGGTCCAAACTTAACTAATAAGCATAGTGTGGAACATTATATAGAAACTGTGTCTATTCCTCGTTTAGTGAAGCCAAACAATAAATCTAGTGTAGGATCTAGCAAAAATCTTATTGTAATTAAACCAGAAAATCTAAATATCAGTCAACAAAAACAATTTCTAAAGCTAGGTCTCCTAAACATTAGATCGCTCACACCTAAGGCGGTTATCGTAAATGAAATGGTCACAGACAATAACTTCGATGTTCTGTGCCTTACTGAAACCTGGCTTAAACCAAATGAGTATTTCGGTCTAAACGAATCTACTCCGCCAGGATACTGTTATAAACATGAGCCTCGTCTGATCGGTCGTGGCGGCGGTGTTGCAACAATCTATAAAGATATTTTTAATATTACTCAGAAAACAGGTCACAGGTTTAATTCATTTGAAGTACTTGTGCTAAATGTTACGCTCTTAGATATAAGAAGGAAATCTATATTATCTCTAGCCCTGGCTACTGTATATAGACCTCCAGGGCCATATGCTGAATTCCTAAAAGAGTTCGCAGACTTTCTCTCGGATCTATTGGTAAATGTCGATAAAGCAATAATTGCTGGAGATTTTAACATACACGTAGATAATACAAATGATGCTTTAGGGGCTGCGTTTACAGATTTATTAAACTCCTTTGGGGTCAAACAAAACGTCAGTGGTCCCACTCATCGTCTAAATCATACACTAGATTTAATTATATCATATGGAACCGATCCAACTGATATAGATATTATACCGCAAAGCGATGATGTCACTGATCATTACATGGTGACTTGCATAATACGTACTGCTGAAATATGTCATGTTGCGCCACGTTATAGACCAGGCAGAACAATCCTTCCAACCACTATAGATGGATTTTCAAATAGCTTACCTGATCTATCTAAGCTGCTAAGTGAACCCAAACAAACAGATGAATTAGAGGAAATGACTAGCAGTTTAAGCACCATTCTTACTAGTACATTAGATATTGTTGCGCCAATTAGATTAAAAAAGGTTCGAGAGAAAATTAAAGCACCGTGGTACAACAGTGCTACACATGCTATCAAGAGAGAAACTCGCAACTTAGAGCGTAAATGGAAACAAACTAATTTAGAGGTCTTTAGAATCGCGTGGAAAGACAGTATGTCACGTTATAAAAAGACACTAAAAACAGCCAGGGCTGAGCATCTCCGCAAACTAATCGAAAATAACCAAAATAATCCAAGGTTTTTATTTAACACCGTGGCTAGACTAACAAATAAACAGACATCACCAGAGCAAAATATACCTTTACAGTTTAGTAGTAATGATTTTATGAATTACTTCAATGCGAAAATAGAAAGCATCCGAAACAAAATTATAAATGTACAATCCGCTATGGTGTCTTATGATTCAGCTTCAATTATGGACCCTCTAGAACAACTAAACCGCTTTACAACGATAGGACAGGAGGAGCTAAATAAACTTATCATTGCATCTAAACCAACAACTTGTTTATTAGATCCAATACCCACTAAACTACTGAAAGAACTATTACCTGTAGTGGAAGAGCCTCTCCTCAATATTATTAACTCGTCTTTATCTTTAGGTCATGTCCCAAAAATATACAAGCTGGCTGTAATAAAACCGCTCATTAAGAAACCGCAATTAGATCCAAATAACTTGGCAAATTACAGACCCATTTCAAATCTTCCATTTATGTCCAAAATACTTGAAAAAGTAGTGTCCGCTCAATTGTGCTCTTTTTTGCAAGAAAATGATATCTATGAAAAATTCCAGTCAGGATTCAGACCGCATCATAGTACAGAAACTGCGCTAGTTAAAATTACAAATGATTTACTTTTAGCTTCTGACCAAGGCTGTATCTCAATACTAGTCCTACTTGATCTTAGCGCTGCGTTCGACACTATAGATCATATAATACTCTTGGATCGACTACAAAACTTCACCGGTGTCCAGGGACAGGCATTAAGCTGGTTTAGATCGTACTTATCGGACCGTTCTCATTTTGTCTGTTTAAATGGGAAAAAATCAAAGATAACGTCAGTAGACTATGGAGTACCGCAAGGATCAGTTTTAGGCCCTCTGCTATTCTCAATATATATGCTGCCACTTGGTAATATTATAAGAAAACATGGAATTAATTTCCACTGTTACGCTGACGACACTCAATTATATATTTCATCACGACCAGATGAAAACACTAACTCATCTAAAATGACAGAGTGTCTCAAAGATATAAAATGCTGGATGACGCGTAATTTCCTGCTATTAAATTCAGATAAAACGGAGGTATTACTTATTGGTCCAAAAAAACTACTCACAAAACCTCTCACAATACAACTTTAATATAGACGGATGTCCTGTTACTTTATCCACAACAGTAAAAGACCTGGGTGTTATACTAGACCGCAACTTGTCGTTCGAAAATCATATTTCATATGTTACAAGAACAGCCTTTTTCCACCTTAGAAACATTGCTAAGCTACGTAACATGCTATCTATTTCTGATGCAGAAAAATTAGTTCACGCATTCATGACCTCGAGACTAGATTACTGTAATGCTTTATTAGCTGGTTGTCCTGCATCCTCAATAAACAAGCTACAGTTAGTACAAAATGCAGCTGCTAGAGTTCTTACTAGGTCAAGAAAATATGATCATATAACACCGATTTTATCATCTCTACACTGGTTACCTATTAAGTTCCGCATCAACTACAAAATACTACTACTGACCTATAAAGCCCTAAATGGTTTAGCACCTATGTACTTAACGGACCTTCTTTCGCCCTACAATCCACCGCGTTCCTTAAGATCACTAAATTCAAGGCTTCTGGTCATTCCTAGGATATCGAAGTCCAGTAAAGGAGGGAGGGCGTTCTCGCATTTAGCTCCAAAACTCTGGAATGGCCTTCCCGATACGGTCCGAGCCTCTGACTCGCTGACACAGTTCAAAACTAGATTAAAGACGCATCTCTTTAGTCAAGCATTCACATAATGCTTACCTTCTAGTCCTCTGTTATGCCATACGGAACCGTTTGCCACTGAAACTGCTTAACGCACCAGTGGGGCTCGACAGCCTTTTAGACAAACGGGTCGGCGCGTATGGTTGGGTTGCGGAGAGTTCGGGTTACGGAGAGTTTGTGAGTTATAACGGAAATTATTATGAACATCAGCTATGCTAATTATTTCCCATCTGCCTTTCTGCTGTTATCTCGGGACGCTTGTCCCGAGAAAAATGGCGTTCGTCAGGTCCAGTTTTGTGTCCAGCCTCTCACGGGGATTTCGGATGCCCCAACGCCTGTGATGAGACGACTCAACGCCTGTGATGAGACGACTCAACGCCTGCGATATGTTATGGCGCCGTTTGATTCATAAACAATATTTATATTTAATATTTATATTTAAACAATATGAATGTAAGCCAGAGGAGAACTGGCCCCCGACTGAGCCTGGGTTCTCCCAAGGTTTTTTCTCCATCCAATCTGATGGAGTTTTGGTTCCTTGCCACTGTCGCCTTGCTTTTGGCTTGCTTTGAGCTTGCTCAGTTGGGGTTATTTATTTAGTGTTTAGCAATGTTGTTGATCTGTGTTGTGCTACTTACATGTTATCACTGTGAAGCTGCTTTGATACAATCTGTATTGTGAAAAGCGCTATATAAATAAATGTGACTTGACTTGACTTGACTTATAAAAGACTACATCCTGATCGGATTCAGAACGACAATCAAAACATAGATGGAGTAGATTGAGTCCATCAACTGGGAAGTGGGAGGGTTAACTCGATTTACGCACCGCCGTCAACTTCCTGTTGTCATGTGTGTATTACGTTACTCCTTGATATCATGTGTGCAAACACATATATATTGTGGCGCTGACACTGTTTATTCTGTTATAAATATGACTATTGATCCACCTGCTGTTGAGGGGAGGTGTCCGGGAGGGGAATAGTTAAGGGGGAGGGGTTAAGTGAGAGAGAGAAAAACGGTGAGCGGTACGGAGAAGAGAAAATCTTACGTTTTACATCTCGATTAATGCTGGTCGTTTTTGTTGTTGGGGACAGTTAAGACACCTCCTGATACCCGTGTTTAGGTTGTACACGTTCAGGAAATAAACCTCAGCTGTTTGATGCTTGTAAACTGATCCTCGTCTACTGTCTGTTTCTCTGGGAAAGTACACGACGTTACACTGGTGTCAGAAGTGGGACCTTGAAACCACAACTTTCTACTCGTGATTCCCAGAAAACGATGGAGAATAAGCCGGTAAGATCGCTTCATTTATCCACCGAGAAGTTAGATCAAAGCAGGGGAGATCCCCGGCAGGGGTGGGATGAGCGCAATACCGAGAAAGCTCGAGCACGTGAGGGGAAAAATGTGCTGATTACCGCGCTATCGCCCAATAATCCTTTTCTGCCGCTTTTGCTGAACGAATGTGATCAAGAATATTCCCTGAAAACTAGACCACAGCCCCCTGCGCCCTGTTTTAGCATGTCTTGTGTTTTTCATGAACATGACTTTATCACGAGCACTCCGATCACGGGAGGTCGCGGCCGCTCTGTTGACTCGGAACCGGAAATCAGCGGGGATCATAACATCCGGTATGGAACGCGGATCGCGGAGAGAAACGCTGATAAACAGAGACGCTGTACATGGGCCAATTCGAATGAAACCTTTTCCTACGTTCCTGTAGATTCAAGCTACAGTTATAATTATCCCCAAACAAGCCGTATGCATGTCAAAGAGGGGCTTTTTGGCAAGATGTATAGCTCCGTGGGCAGCCGAGCTAATCCGTTTGTTTTAGCTGAGCAGACTAATGAACCTTATTCAGTCACCCCCTCTTACAACCTTCAGTGGCCAACAACTGCATTGCCTTATAACCCCCCCCCCCACCAAATTAGCTGTGACCACAAGCACTCTGACTTACCACTGATGAGTAATATGAGACAAACAATGGAAACTCACTCCGACTTTGGTATCTGCCCGACTTTATCATCTACTTCTCCCCACTGGCTTGCACAGTCTCCAGCCAGAGAACCCATACCCACCAGTTGCTCTTTTTCTAACCAGCCAATGCAGCCTGTCACACTCATGTCTGACCGGGGGTCTAGTAAAACCCGTAGCTGTCTGAAATTGGGGCGCTACGATGGACATTCTTCTTATGAGGCGTTCCGGAAGAAGTTTGAGCTGGTGGCCGGGGCTAATGGTTGGGATGAAGCTGAGAGAGTGGGTCAACTCGCAGCGGCTTTAGATGGCGATGCACAACAGGTACTGCTGGATGTCCAGGGAAGTCAGGTGTATAGTGTCCACAAGTTGCATCAGGCTTTGTCTCGCCGCTTTGGGGACACTACACCCCCGATGGCCTTGCGGCAGCAGTTTCAGGAACGTATCCGTCAGCCAAAAGAGCCCTTAGGTGTGTTTATGGCTGACCTGCGACACTTAGCCCATCGCAGTTACCCAACATTCAGCGAAAGCGTGAAGCATGCATTGGTTCTGGATGCGTTTGTACGAGGATTGACCCCAGATCGGTTACGGCAGCAAGTACGAATAGCCCAGCCATCTAACTTTGATGAAGCCCTTGATCAAGCGCAGGTTATAGAAGGGATATTGGAGGAACGGCTAAGCGGAATGTTAAGCAACAATAATGTTGGCTGCACAAGGGTTTTTGCTGCATGCTCCGGGGAGCAGGCTCCCTCACAAACTTCTAAGGTGAATGTGTCCCAGAGGGAGCTTGTGGTTTGTTGGCGCTGTGGAAAAACAGGTCATTTGCGTCGGGAATGTGCAACCCTGGATGTGGCTGTGTCCCCTCCGCCGTCGGGAAATGGACGGGGGCCGGAGTAGAGGGAGGTGCTCTCGGCCCATCAAACATTTCAAAACCTCTATGTGGATCGACTGTAGCTGGGGCTAGTCCAGTAGAATGCTGCCGAATAGAGGCCAAAGTGGATGGACAACTAGTGCGTGCCTTGTTGGATACTGGCTCTACAATCACCAAATTCTTGACAAGAAGGGTCCTTCAGACCGCTTGCTTTCCTCTAGTCACTGTCATGGGTGAGAAAGCAACTTTGATGGGCCGTTGTGAGGCAGAAATCTTTGTGGAAGGACACAGTACAGTTATGTGGGTGTGGGCTGCTGAGATTCCAGAATCCTGTCTCCTGGGTATCGATTTCCTGCACCAGGCAGCTGCAGTTTTGGACTTGAAGGCAGCGACCCTAACGCTAGCTGGAAAATGTTCGGTTCCAATTCATTTTAATTCTATTTGGCCGGGTCCTCAGTCGCGCTATGTGGGACGTTTGGATCCTAGCTCACAAGCCCAGGGGGTCCCAGGTCCAAACTCTGCCAGTTTGTCACCAACATTACGGTCTTCAGAGATTCCATTGTCTGGCTCTGTGGTCGAGCTTTCCACCGCTTCACCACCAGCCGTCTCTGATAGTGGGAATGGCAGTCAAGTTGGGGAGAACCCAGTTTTGATGCAAGCGGCAAGGGCTGTTTGGGAGAGGAGTAGTGAGGGGTTAGAGGAACTCTAAAAGCAGAAATTATGGCGGGTAATGGAACGCCACGATAACCTCTTCGCCGCCTCAGCCAGTGATGTCGGGCAGACGAAGTTGGTGCAACATTGTATAAATACAGGAAATGCCTCCCCCATTCGGCAACGTGCGCGTCGGTTACCTCCCACAAGACAGTCAGCCGCAAATCACTGTCTAGAAGAGATGAAAGCTTCAGGAGTTATAGAGCCATCAGAAAGCCCATGGGCCTCGCCAGTGGTATTGGTCCCCAAGAAGGACGGTGGGTGGCGTTTCTGTGTTGACTTCAGGCGCCTGAATGAGGTGACTGTCAAGGACTCCTACCCGCTTCCGCGGGTTGATGAGTCTTTGGATCAGATCGCTGGGTCCAGCTGGTTCTCTTCACTAGATCTGCGTAGCGGGTATTGGCAGGTACCTCTAAGTGCTGACGCGAGACCGAAGACTGCATTCACAACAGGGACAGGCCTCTGGCAATTCAAGACCATGCCCTTTGGTCTTTGCAACGCTCCGGCAACCTTTGAGCGACTGATGGAGCGGGTGCTCCAGGGTATTCCGAGAGAAGTGTGTCTGGTCTATCTGGATGAGATTTTAGTGCATGGGAAAGACTTTGAATCAGCCCTGAGTGCTCTTGACCTTGTCATGACCAGGATAGCCCAGGCTGGTCTGAAATTGCACCCAGACAAGTGCCAGCTGATGCAGAGAGCCGTGACCTTCTTGGGGCACTATGTAAGCGCGGCAGGGGTGGCCACTGACGAGCAGAAGACGGCAGCTGTTCGCGATTGGCCGGTTCCGTGCAGCCTTAGGCAGTTGCGGGCTTTCCTGGGGCTAGCGTCATATTATCGAAAATTCGTCCCTGGATTTGCCACTGTTGCTGCTCCCCTCCATGACTTGACAAAGAAATCACAGCGGTTCCAGTGGGGGCAAGAACAGCAGCAGGCTTTTGAAAGCCTGAAGGAGGCTCTGTGTCATACTCTAGTCTTGGCCACCCCAGACCCTAGATTGCCATTCATCCTGGACACAGATGCCAGCAATGTAGCTCTGGGTGCGGTTCTCTCCCAGGACGGGGAAAAAGGAGAGAGGGTGATTGCCTACTACAGTTGGGCCTTCAACAGGGCAGAGCGTAATTACTGTTGTGACCCGACGAGAACTTTTAGCCATGGTGGAGGCAGTCAGCCATTTTAGGCATCACCTCTGCGGTCTCCATTTTGTGATCCGAACAGATCGTGCTTCCCTACGTTGGTTGTTGTCTTTCCGGGAGCCAGAGGGGCAGGTGGCACGGTGGATAGAACGCCTGCAGGAGTTTCAATTCACCATTCAGCATCGCAAAGGGGAAAGTCACCAGAATGCGGACGGGTTGTCAAGGTGCACCTGTATGGCATCCTGTCCACAATGTGAGCGACTGGCTGGATATGTGATGCAGGAACCGGCTGACATGACCCCAGAGATGGGGACGCAGGTGTCTTGTTGTGCGGTACTGCCTGATTCAAATGTAGCATGGGCAGCTGAGCAACGCAAGGACTCCGAGCTCCAGGTAGTCATTGACTGGGTGGAAGCCGGGAGGAGGCCTACGTGGGAAGAGGTCATGACTTTTGGACCAGTGGTGAGGGGACTGTGGTCCATGCGGGATGGCCTGGCATTGAATTCGGGATTGTTGCAGCGAGGATTCGTGGAACCAGTGACAGGTGTAACCAGGTGGCAGACAGTAGTGCCTAAGTCCTGTCAACGCTTGGTTCTAGAAGCGATGCATGGCCAACCAGGGGTAGGACATTTTGGAGTAAACAAAACATTAAAACGCGTTCGGCAAGAGATCTACTGGCACACATGCCGTAGGGATGTGGAGTCATTCTGTCGTCGGTGTGATGCCTGCACTGCTAAAAAAGGCCCAACGGGCCGGTCTCATGCCTCTCTACAACAAAGGCTGGTAGGCTGTCCAATGGATCGTGTGGCCGTAGATGTACTAGGACCCTTTCCACAGACCCCTCGAGGAAATCGGTTTGTGGTAGTCGCGATGGACTACTTTACAAAATGGCCGGTCTATGCTGTGCCCAACCAGGAGGCGGGGACAGTGGCGGAAGTCCTGTTGGAAGGTCTGTTTGCTCGCTTTGGGGTTCCCTCTGAGATGCATACTGATCAGGGTAGGAACTTTGAGTCCCGTGTGTTCTCTGAGTTCTGTCAGCAGTTGGGTATTCGGAAGACAAGGACAACGCCCCTACACCCCCAGAACGATGGGTTAGTAGAGAGGTACAATCGAACACTGGCCACCCAACTAGCCCTGTGTGTAAGCCAGGATCAAAAGGACTGGGATCTTCAGTTACCGATGGTCCTGCTTGCCAGTCGGAGTGCCGTGCAGGAGACCACTGGATGTACGCCAGCTCTCCTTATGCTGGGCAGAGAATTGCGAACCCCATCCTCCCTATTGATGGGTCAACCACCAGATGCACCAAAGGTCCCACCCGGATTGGAGTATGCCCATCGGCTACAGGACCGGCTGCAGTCAGCCCATGAGTTTGCTCGTTGTCAGGCTATGCAGGCGGGTATACGCCAAAACGGGCATATGACCATCATTGTTCGGGACGGGATTTTAATGATGGAGAGCTGGTATGGATTTATAGTCAGAAGAGGCTTGGGGAGTCTGTTTATCGTGTTCGGAAGAGGCCTGGGGGACAGGCTGTGGTGTTACACCGTGACCGGATGGCACCATATGTGGGAGACCGTCAACCTTTCAAGAGGAGAGGACAATGGCAGACCACTGGGGTGACCCACCTAGCGGACGAAGGAGCTGGAGACGCAGCGTCAGACAAGGGGTGGGAAACCTCAGCGGGCTGTGAAGAGGGTGACCCTTTGACCCAGGCTCCTGGGGGCACTCTGGATACTCTCGAAGGAGCTGGAGAAGCAGCACCGGGAGTGTCTGGAGTTCTTCTGGGTCAGTCTGGGTTGGGGGCGCTTGAAGATTGCATCATGAGCCCTGATCATTGTTCGAATGGCAGCAGACATCGCAGTGGAAGCTGTCATATTACCCCGGAAACGGAGTACAGGCCAACTACTCCTTTGAGGCAGCTACCTGCCAGTGGGCAACAGCAGACCCAAAGAGTGAGGACTGGATCACGGCTTCGTCCCAGAGAGGCACTTCGGATGCCCCGGCGTTTCATGGATTTCGGGGACGAGGAAACCTGAGGAGGGGGCAATGTGGCGCTGACACTGTTTATTCTGTTATAAATATGACTATTGATCCACCTGCTGTTGGGGGGAGGTGTCCGGGAGGGGAATAGTTAAGGGGGAGGGGTTAAGTGAGAGAGAGAAAAACGGTGAGCGGTACGGAGAAGAGAAAATCTTATGTTTTACATCTCGATTAATGCTGGTCGTTTTTGTTGTTGGGGACAGTTAAGACACCTCCTGATACCCGTGTTTAGGTTGTACACGTTCAGGAAATAAACCTCAGCTGTTTGATGCTTGTAAACTGATCCTCATCTACTGTCTGTTTCTCTGGGAAAGTACACGACGTTACAATATATAATCTATATTTGTAAAGAAAAAAACAGTTAGGTCTGGTCGGATGTATTCAATATTTTCAGATTGTATTATGTTGGTAATAGGCTAACGCTAAAAGAAGTTTTGTGACTCTAAAAAGTTCTGTCGATCTTCTTTTTGATCTGAATGGTATATGGAAAACAAAGAGTTTTGCCAGACTTGTCCCACCGCCTAGAACGCAACTGAATGCTTTATCGAGTGCCTTCAATGCAGACATGATAGGCACAACACTCCTATATTTAATTTCAAGTTCTTTACTGACACTGTTGTCTTACCAGTTGACTTTTTGACTTTGGTTTTCTACCATGAAAGCTGATGGCAATTATTTATTAACATCTTGAAATCATGATTAAGCATAATAGAATACTTAAGTTTTGTTTTCCTTTTTATTTCATAAGTGAGAAAAAGTCTCACTTATCTGTTCTTATAATACTAAATACTAATACTATAATCTAAAAACATTCAAACCACGGATAAGAAAAGGTACATAGACCTTGAAAGTGTTACAACAGGGGATGACACACAGATGTAGCTTCCAACATAGTTTTTTTTTTGCAGAAAGAGTGGTGCACAGGCGGTATTAACAGGTGTGAAGCAGTTCAGAGAATAGTAGAAAAGGTACAGTAACTTGAATAATAATTGCCCTTTCCTTTTACAGGTGCTGGCTGGTACAACTGAGAAAGATGACTGACAATCAACAGGTAGGTATCCCAGAGGAGTCAGGTATTGGTCAATGAGATCCGACAATTATATGTGACAGAGTGAGTGCTAATATAGGGTGCGGTGATTAGC